TCCGGCAGGCCTGGGGCTGTTGATCTTTGATTGGACTTCAGCCCCATTAAAATCGAGGGTATGTTGTGTCTCTTTTAATTTGTTTCTATCTTGCATTTTAAACTCTTTTAAATATTTTTAAACTGCTTTTATGTAAGCCGCCCGGAGTCCTCCGGGATTGGGCTGCATACAAATCTATTAAAATTGAAATTGAAACCTATATCAAGAGAGATGCTTGACCGTCAGAGAGAAAATGTAATTTGTCTTCTGTATTTGAGGGACTTCATGGATACACCTTAGATTGGCTTCTCCCATTTATAAATTGAAGCATGTATTTGTCTTAAGTAATGTGATTTCATTTCACATATGCCTTGCAAATGAAACCTTTCTCTTGAGAGGAATACTGATGATTTAATTCATATTTATGTAAATAGGTGTGTATGCAACATAGACTGTAGTGGATACAGCTTCAACCCTGTCTGTGCATCTGATGGGAGTTCCTACAATAACCCGTGCTTTGTTCGAGAGGCATCTTGCCTGAGGCAGGAACAGATTGACATACGACACCTTGGACATTGCTCAGGTACCTTAACTTCGTTTTTCAATAGTGGATTATTTCACTAGATGATTGACTAGAGACAATGTTGTTTATACAACATTGAGATAAGGCTTTCTTTGTGGTTCTGCTTTTATAAAACCACTGAACATAGGCAAAATATTGTCTTTCATTGAGAATTAAAATGTTTTGTTTTGTTCTCATTGAAAAGCACGTGCCCAAGAATATATTTTTTCTTGCTTGTGGTTTTCTTTTAAAAGTTAAATGAAGTACAAGATGTTCTACTTGAGGGACTTGTGATCCAGGAAGCAAAATAAACTGTATAACTAATAAAAAAAAGTTATGTGCTCTACGAAGGAAAGAAAATTATATACTTAGGTTTCAGGTAGTTTTATTAAATATTATAATTACAGTAATAATCGGAAGCACTATTACCATTGTGTGAGATTTGATGTAGTTATTTATTTTAAAGAATTATTCAATATAAGCATCATACATGGCAAGGCTATTTCTTACTTTTCCCTGCCCTCTGCTTTACAATTTCTCGATGATTCATTGCTTACTTAAGGATTCAGTGCCAACATGAACAGGTTCTATGTTGTTGTTGTTTTACAATCTAGTACATTAGCTATTAAAATGGCTTTCATGTGTTGGTAATGAATGAAGGTTATCTGATGCATTCCTCATGGCTATCAGATGCAGCCAAAAGTTTAACCCTTTGTAAAAAGCGGATAGAAAAAAGTGTTGTAAACAAAAACCTCAGATGTTTCAGATAATCTTGGATGCTGTAATCATTAAGTTGGTTGTAAATAAAAGACAATGATGTTTCGGAAGATCCTACTCATATTTTAGGTTAGATTTAATACATACATACATACCAGGGGTGGGTTTCAACCGGTTCACGGCGGTCCCCGCGAACCGATTGGTCGNGGGGGCTGTTTGCTGCAATCTGGACCTCTGATGAAATTACCTGAGCTGAAAATACAGTCTTGGCTAACACCAAGCTTAGAAACAAATTTGAAGGGGTGGTTTAAAATACGTATCTTCACATTTCTCAAGGCAGAGTTTATACCGCTTAAAATGGGTCACAGCCTACAACTGTTTTTTCCTCCCACTGGCAAATGTATAACATTAAAAATGGAAATTGTTGCGTCCTCCCGATGCAGCTGGCAGCTGCAGCCAGAGCCCGAGGTCTCTGATTGGTTCTGGCGCGCCTGCTGGCCGGCGGGAAAAATATGCGCCTCCGATTGGTTACCCACCTGACAGCTGTCAAGTATAAATAGCTGTCAGACGGGCTCGGTTGTTCGTTCGTGTTTCTGTTCCTTGTTGAGTTGTTCCTGCAATAAAGTTGAATTGAATTCACCTCAGGCTCGAGTTTTAAAAGAAATAACAGCTAACTCTCTACCCTTTCAGGAAGCCTACAAGCAACAGGGTCAGGGAATTATACTGTTTTGTTGAATAAGACTGGTGAACAGATTTGAAAGGAACATGACATTGGCTGCTTTCTAATTATTTTGTCACTTTTAAAGTTCTAGGTATTCCTATCTTTTGTTTACATCTATTCCTTCTTGTTTTAATCTTAGTGGATAAGCTTGTTCAATTGTTTGTTCATTTTTCTTTGAGGACACTGAAATTTAAGTGTTTATCTCTGGTAAATTATCTCAGCTCTGTTGTCTTATTTAGAACATTTGCCTTTTAAATCTTTCACACTCCAGACTTTTCCATAGATTATCAGTCAGTGAAACAAATATTATCAGTCAGCGAGAGAAGAGACCAGTCTCTGGCAATTTCCTTGCCTGTAAAATAGAATTCATCATTTTACAGCTTATAAAAGTTTATCCTTAAAACATTTACAATAAAAGCCTGATAGTCCATCAGATTCAGGTGCTTTTCCTGATTTAACCCTTTTTATAGCTTCAAAAACTTCCCTTGTGGTTATAGATCAGTGATGCGTGCACGCATGACCCAGTGGTGGGATTCAACCGGTTCGCACCTATTTGGGAGAACCGGTTGTTAACTTTCTATAAGCAGTTCGGAGAATTCAGTTGTTGGAAGAAATCTCCTTTTGTTTTGTTTTNCCGGAGGAGGCCCAACCTGTGCGATCTTGTTGGTCGTTGGGAGGTAAGCAGCAGGAGGCGGTCTCTCAGGTAGGAGAAAAGTCTATGCTAACCCTGAATTGCTGGGCTACTGCCAGCCACACCACAAGGACATGGAGGTTGAAATCCCGCCAGAGCAGAAACTACAAGGAATCAACCAAAATCCCAGATACAAGATTGAGAATCCCAGAGAGAGACATTGTAATACAAATCTGAAAGTTGCCACTGTAGAAGGCTATGTTAGATGGACTTTTTTCTTATTTTACTACACTCTTGTTTTATTTTACCTTGGCATAGGTTACATTAAAGTGGCTTTTCTCTCTACTTTTCTGCAGGTATATGCATGGGGCAGTAATATTTATGGACAGCTAAGTCATTTGAATTCTCCAACCACAATCCCTCGCCTGGCAAAGGTAATTTTGATTGTCACTAACTTCTTTTCAGAATAATTATTTGTAATTTCACTTACATCACCACATTTGCTTTTTTTAAAAAATTTGCCAATACCTTGATTAAAAGAAGACAATTATGAAGACATTTCAGCTGGGTTTTCCATGATTTCAGAGATCCTGTTGCTCCCCCAAATATAGAAATCTTGACTGAAGAGAATCTTCCTGGTTTCTCTTAACATGGCACAAGGTCAAAACACTCCAAAGCTATGCTTCCCATTTGTAGCTGAGGAATGGTGATGTATGATTTACCTTGTATTTTTTTTCTTGTGGTCCCTATGACCCAGAGTGATCATACAGAACCAGAGTGATCAGAAGCACAAACAATTTGTACGGCGAAAAAGACAAAATGATTGCAACACTGGCTTTAAAAAATGATTGAAGGGCTATGATTGAAGTATGCAAAATCTAAAACGGGGATCATCCAGTGAAACAGATTGGAAGGAGATCTGAAATAGATAAAGGAAGAGGTTCACCATCAAATGCGCGCCCGACAAAAGCGCGCCAACAAAACCGCCCGGAGAAAAGAGCGAATTTGAAATTGCGCCCACAGAAGCGCACCGATAAATGCACGCCGATAAAAGTGCGTTATCGACAAACCATGCGAAAACAAGGTAATAACCCTAAACCTAACCCTTAGGGGTTTTTACCTTGTTTTCACGTGGTTTGTTGATAGCGCGCTTTCGTCGGCGCGCATTTATCGACGCGCTTCTGTGGGCGCGATTTCAAATTCGCTCTTTTCTCCAGGTGGTTTTGTTGGCGCGCTTTTGTCGGGCGCGCATTTGACGGGACACGGAAGGAAGACACTTGTTCATTCTAAGCATAATTCTACATTGTGTTCATTACCTCAGTATGTGGCAATGGCAATTAATTTGAATGGGTTTAAAGAGAAAATCGGATAAAGAGAACATTTATTAAGTGCAATTGAACTTGAAAACTAAAATGTTGCTTTTAGGTTGAGAGTGGCATTTATCCAAATGCCACTTCTAGGGATGAAACTACCAGTTAAACAATTTAATGCCAGAGACATCTGTCTGGATCTTGTTGTAGATTAAAAGTGGTCTTGCCCTGATTTAGCAGAGCTGTTCTTATGTTCCTAAGTTACGTTTTTATATCTTGCTAGATATGTGATGACAACAGAATTTGGAATATAGCAGCAGGTCCAGATTATTCCCTATTCCTAGCAGAGGGAGAAGATTTTCAGCCTTCTTTGTATTATAGTGGCAGAGAAGAAAAAGAAGATGGCATTTCATCTGAAAATAACTGCCTAAAGAGTCCAACATTGCTGCTAAACTGTAGTAAGGTACGTATTACCTTCTGGTTGATTTCCTTAAAAGCTTTAGAACATGGGTATGTGATATCTTAGGAATACGATGTGCAATCTCTCATTATATTGACCATGGAAAATGATTTCCAGTGGAACACAACCCCAGGAAAAATCAGAGCTGTACTGTAATTGCAAAATAATCCTCTGTGCTACATCCTTCTACTTCATGTTCAGGTTTTGTCAGTTAAAAGACGCATTACATTTTCCATTATTGTTTTCAGCTGAGATGCTTTAATGTTGAGAAATACTGTCAGTAGCATATAACGTTAACAGTGAAGTCACTGTTACTATGCACTGTTTTCCCTGGCTCTTTAATTTTGTCATCCTAATTTTAAAAAATAAAATATATTCTAACCAAAACCCAGTATACATTCATGTTTTGTAACAAGGCATTTGTTTCAGTTTACTGGTATACTATATAAAGAACAAGCCAGTAAATTAAATTTATAGTTTCAAGGCATTACTACAAATAGTCCTCCAATTATGTCCATTCATTTAGGGACTGTTCAGAGTTATGGAAGTGCTGAAAACATGGGTGTATAACAGTGGTGGGTTTCGAAAATTGTTCGAACCTATTCTGTGGGTGTGGCCTCCTTTGTGGGAGTGGCTTGCCGCCCATGTGACTGG